ATTAATCACTGATTGATTCAGGGCTTTATTCCATATACCAGACAGAAAACCAATGCCAGACACCGTGAACTCGTTAATGGTGATTTTCTTAAGGCTCTTTGCCAGTTGCTGCAGTGGAGCTTATTTGCAGTGTGAGGGTAACACGTATCTGATATACATTTAGTTAATTAGTGTAAGTTGGAAATGCAGCTTTGCACTTCTTCCTCTCCTGCATACGTGAACATTGGTACCTGTTAAGACTGGAGAGTAACCTTTGGAGAACATGGTGATGAAGTGCAGAAAAATGCTCTGCTCCAAGGAAAATGACTGTGCGAGCACCCTTCAATTCCAGCAATGCTACTTTACAGGCCAAGAACACTTCTTACAATTTAAATCCAAACAATCTCATTAGCTTTTCCTGAAAGTATCTGAAGTAAAATTTCTCTTGGCTTCACAATACAATTAAGGTGTGAAGAGATCTCCAGAATGGTCCAAGAAACATTCTCTTTAAAGAGGCACAGGCCAAGACCCTGTGGGAGTGATGCTGGCTCTAAAAGCTCCCTTAATATGCAAAAAAGGAGAACTATTTCCATAATACTGCAGGCCATACCAGTGTCTACAGTTAATAGAAATTCACTTTGAAGAATATGGATTGTAGGTAGCCATCGAAGCCACAAATAGAAATACCTGATATCAGTCTGGGGTGCAAGACCCAATATTCTTTTGAACTAAGAAAGCTCTACATTGTTTTAGCTGAGTATAGAGAAAAAACAAGACAAATTAGGTGCTGATACTGAAAACTCAATACATGCCCTCATTTGTTTATTTATAAAACAAAATGATATCTAAAAGACAACTCCATTCTCATTTTTTGAGGTTGTGGAAGACATTTTTTAGTGTTTTGTCCAATAGGAATAAAGCTTTATCTGCTTCTGTCCTTCTCTGTTACGAAGGGCTTTCATCTGCAGTGAGGGCAACACAAGGAACGGCTCCCTTGCAGGCTGTGGTATCTGCTATCACTGAAACCTCTCACAAGAGTCCTTTATAAAACTGGAAAGAAAGCCAAGGCAGTTCATAATATATAGAGAATAGCAAAGCCCTTACGTAAATGAATGAATGAGTGAATGTCTTGTTACGGTAAATACAAACTACTTGAATACTGAATGCTTGCCCTGAACGCAACTCCAGTAGAAACATTTGATTTTACTGCTAACAGTACTTATCTCAAAAAATCAAAAGGCAGCTAGCATTGTTAGAAACTGGAACCTTACAGATGTCTAAATATACTGCCTTATGGTAACTGCAGAACCAAGATTATTATTTTTTTTCCTTTTTCTGACTGACTGCTTTTCAAGTTGTGAGTGGGCGTATCTTAATAAATCCAATAATGATTTTTGAGATAGTGATTGATGTAGTTTAAACCCAGCCGGCAGCCAAGCACCACACAGCTGCTCACTCACCCTCCCCTCTCTCGGGGGTGAGGGAGAGAAATGGCAGGGTAAAGCTAAAGAGACTCGTAGGTTGAGATAAAAACGGTGTAAATTTTTTTTTTTTTTTTTTTTTCAGTAAAATACAAAGGGGTAATGCACAATGTGATTGCTCACCACCTGCCCACTGATGCCCAGCCCATTCCTGGCCAGTGATCCCAGAGAAGTGAAGATCCCAAAACTGCAATCCCAGAAGTGAGAGCCTTCCCTTCCTGACCACCCCTCCTCTATACACTGAGCACGACATTACATGATATGGATTATTTCACTGGCTAATTTGTGTCCAGTGCTCTTGCTCTGCTCCCTCCCAGCTTCTTGTGCACCCACGCACAGGCAGGACATGGGGAGTTGGAGAGTCTTTGAGCTCTCAGCAACAACTGAAAAACATCAGTGTATTAGCAAGATGCTTCTCATCCCACACCCATTACTGAATCCAAAGCACAGCACTACTCCAGCTGCTAAGAAGGAAAATTAACTCTATCCCAGCCAAAACCAGGACAGTATCTACCCCTTATTCCATACCATTTATGTTATGCTCAGGTTCCATGTTTCCCAGTACGTTCTAAGGGATCACCACCCCATTTCCTGGTTTTTGAGGTATACACACAGATATCATTCCCTTAGACTCTAGGCCATCCCTCCAACATGTATAGTGAGTTCATATAGTCCATAAGTTTGGGGTCCACTGTCATGACAGTCTTTTAAGTCAGGCGGGGTGATGTGGCGTTGGTTCGGTGGGTGGAGCGGGTGGTCTTGGGCACGGCAGGAGGAGGGCACGTAGCCTCTGCTACATCTGGAGCTCGTAGCAGCTGTATCTGGTGTGGTCCATGCTCACAGATTGCGGGCTGAAGATGTTGATCTCAAGGAAGTTGCTGGGCACCAATTCAGTCCTGAATCTATCAAAGTTCATTTCTCATTAACCTGGGTGATTCTTAATATGATGTTGTTAGTATAATATGTACCAACCGTAGTGATGACCATCTTCAATAACAGGGTTATTTAGCAATTAACATCATACAGTTCAATTCATCAGCTATTTTTACCCAAAACCAAATCCCCTTGAGGCACACATTTGAATTCCCCATCCTTCTGCATTACCCACCAACTGCACCCGGGTCCTTGGGCAAAAATATTCCCACGCATGAGTTTACCTTTACCAGAGGCAGGAATAACCCAGACTGTCTTCCCCCGCATAATTTTAATGTGCCCTATGGGGACTTTATCTCCATCTACAGTACGTAGAAGGTTTGACTGGGCAGGGCCATCCTGGTTGGCAGATTCTCTAGTATCTAAAATCCTGTTCACCTAATGCCTCTGATTTTGGTGCACTAAAATGCCAAATGTTTAGTCTAATGACTTTTACTTGTACAAGGAATCACTAGGCGTTCCTCCACAGTAACTGAATTACTGAATTCTAGTTATCTTGAAAGAAACGCTATGGGTTCAGCTTGTGTTCTTGTTTCACTGCTAAAAAAAAATTGAAACTAAGCAAAACAATTCAACAAAAAGCTGTGTAAACCAAATACTGTCGATGTTCCCCACCCTGCAGCCCTTTACTCAGCAGCCTTTTCACTTGTGTGATGAAAGGCACACGCAGACCCACAGAACACACGGTGGGAGAGCACACTCACCAAAAAATACTTACATATCCCACAGGAGTATCTTGAATACCGACTTTCTGAAAAAGGAGAACATTTTGTATCCGTTGCCTAATCACCACCGGTAGAATGTTTTAGGTGACATGAACATGTCTGAATGGCTCAAACACATTCAGTGCCACTGCAGGCAGGACACCTTACCATCTATTGAGGGCCTCTGCGGCCCTGGGAGGGCAAGAAGCCGAAAAGGCTAGCAGCACTGAAGGCTCATTTTACTGTCATTAGACCCTGAAAGCAGTTAGCTTTCCCAGGGAAATAAAATGACTTCTCTTGCATTTAATATTTTAAATGTGATTTAAATGTTAATAGTTAATGTCAGAATACTTTTAATTTCTATCAGTGAAAGCATATGCTGCAGTCTATTCCATTTCCAGTGGGAAGGAAACTGTGGGCGCTGTAGTCTTCTGTTATTAAAGCATTACAGTAGCAGTGTGAGTCAGTAGAAATGTGAATTTGTCACAATTTCCTTGTCGGATAATATTTACAGTGTTTCAGAGTGTATGTATGTGATCAGCATTTTGTACCCACTTGGAAATTGTATCTGGACATCTCCTTTCATGGTTTAAGTTCACAAAGGCCTGGTTCCTTCAGTGCTGGTGAGGTATGAAGCCTAATCCAGCTGCAGCACACTGCTAGCGTCACGGATCTGTCCCATTTACTGTTCACAGTCACACTAGCAACTTCTGCAATGTTTGTTCTTTATGATAGCTATGCCATTGCAATTCAGAGTATAAGAAAGCCTTTGGGCAAGCCAAGAGTGCCAAGATCTTTAGTTTATGATGGTCATCATTGTTTCTCAAAAACCACTGAGACATATTAAAGCAATATCCTAGAAAAGTAGTACACGGAAGGAAGGAAGACACATCGGTAAAGAAAGTCACAAAGAGCTGGGGCAAACGTCCACACTACATCATGCATTGGCTTTCCCCTGCTCCCTCCCTTTTCTGAAATCCAATGGAGCTGAAAACAGTATGCACATCCACCAGAAGAACAGAAAAGTTGACACAAGAAAAAAAGAATAAAGTAAAAAAAAACCCTGCACAGATAAAGCCACCAGAAAACAATTATTTAAAAATCCCACAGCTCTTAGAAACACTTAGCAATTTTAATATATCATAAAAGAAACTGGCAAAAAAAACAATTCAAAGAGCATAAAAGAAAAAAAGGAACTACTCATCTAGCACTATCATCAAAAGTGAAACAAAAATGTTCCCGCTAACAGCCAAATTTGCAGCTTCCCGTCCCCCCCGCCCCCAGGAGACACCCCCACACCCGCCCAAGGGGCTCGCTCGCCTCACCGCCACCCGCCGCCGCCGCCGCCGCCCCGCCCCTCTCTCTCCCGCGCACCGCGCCTGCGCCGGAGGGGCCAGAGCCGGCGCGCGAACGCCGGGCTGCAGGACCGCGGTCGGCGCGCAGAGCGCCCGGCGGCACCGCGCACGGGGCGGCGGCGGCGGCTCCTGACCGGGAGGAAGCGACGGGCGAGGCGGCGCCGCTCCGCAAGCACCGCCGCGTCACGTTGCCGGTAACCGCGGAGGCAGCAGCGATCGCTGCAGAGGGCGCCCCCACCGCGCCTGCGCGGTCCCGGGGCTGCAGGACCGCATTTTCGGGGAGCAGCCGGGAGCCCGCAGGAAAACACACAAAACCGGCACCAAAACTGCACCTCGAGCCGCGCTGCGGGGGCCGCGGCGGTAGAGAGGGCTGCGCCGGGCCACGCACCGCAGAGAGCAGCGCAGCTGTCCGGCGGCCGGGCCCGCGAAAACTACAGCTCCCGGCATGCCCTGGGGCAAGCACAGCATGGCGCCCGCCGTCCAGTGCCGGCAGACTGCAGCTCCCGGCATGCCCTGGGGCAAGCACAGGATGGCGCTCTCTGTCCAGTGCCGGCAGACTGCAGCTTTCATGGAGTAGATGATACAAGAGTTATCCTAGCCTCTCTCATCAGCGTGTTTACACAAGTTCTCTCCAGACTTTTAGTTTTGTCCATCTCAAGGTAATGGAAAACTGAACCCACATGTACAAAAGTGGAGTAAAAAAAGAGTGGAAAGGGCTGTCTTTAGGAGTAAAAGATTATTGAATAGTTTCAGATATTTAATTGTACCTGTAGATGTAAGAGATAAAGAGTCATCTTAATGCTGATACAGGGTTCAGAAAGAAAATTCTTTAAATAGTTGTAATTTGATTTATTAATCAAATGTTTCGTCCTGGAAGAATGTAAACTCATCTAATCTACTGGTATCTTAATATGCACTATGTTTGAATTAATAAAACCTAGAGAACTTGGAAGAGCCCCAAACAAGCTACTCTCTCTAGTCAGTTGGACTAATGACATGAGTTCGTGGTTTTGTTTGTATTAGTGCATCGTGCTACATTATTCCCATAATTTACATCCAATTTACATCCATTCATACTGCTAGATTATGCAGGATGTTACAACCTGTCATTGCAAATGCATTATCTGTTTCAAATTAAATCAATTTCACTCAAGAATGAAGTTTGATACTGGGAGTGTGTTGTGGTTTAAACCTGGTAGGCAGCTAAGCACCACACAGCTGCTCACTCACTCCCCCCCATAGTACAATGGGGAAGAGAATTGGAAGGATAAAAGTTCAAAAAATTGTGGGTTGAGTTAAAGACAGCTTAGTAGGTAAAGCAAAACCTGTGCACGTAAGCAAAGCAAAACAAGGAATTCTCTCACTACTTCCCATCAGCAGGCAGGTGTTTAGCCATGTCCAGGAAAGCAGGGCTCCATCCCAGGTAATGGTTACTTGGGAAGACAAACACCATAACTCTGAATGTCCCCCCTTCCTCTTTTCCCCCAACTTTTATTCCTGAGCATGACGTCATATGGTATGGGAGATCCCTTTGGCCAGTTGGGGTCAGCTGTCCTGGCTGTGTGCCCTCCCAACTTCTTGTGGGCCCCCCAGCTGCACGCTGTTAGGGCAGCGTGAGAAGCTGAAAAGGCCTTGACACTGTGTAAGCACTGCTCAGCAATAACTAAAGCATCCCTGTGTTATCAACAATGATTTCAGCACAGATCCAAAACATAGCATCATACAAGCTACTACGAAGAAAAATAAAACCAGTACACAATGCCAGTCTCAGACTGGCAGAGTGCTAAAAGGGTCTGGATTTTAAAGCTAGAGTTGTTTTTCTTTTTTAACCATTAAAAGCTTGAAGCAGTCACTAAATGACATTGGTTCTACAGTGACATGCTACCTGTTGCTGGTCAGCCTCTACTCAGTGAACTCCTGTGGGATTTCTGTCTTGTTTTAACATTATCTTACACTCAAGGTGCAAGGACTGACTCCTTTTGTTTTGTGGTGTATCTTCATTTGGTTATACAAGACTTGTCCTTGTATCAGTCATTATTTGGACCATGAAGACATTAAAGTGAAATCAGACTATTGTTATTTCTATTCCATTGATTCCAATTAAAGAGATGAAAAGGCTTTTATTTTACTATTCCCCACAAACTTGTATAATATAGTCTACAATCAATAGATGCTTTCAAAAGACACACTATCATCTTGCTCCCTTCTCCCTGGAAGCCAGTTCTGTGTAGATACAGCTTTATGTCAGCATGAAAAAAAAAAGGCAAGGAAGGCTTGATTTAAACATGTCATTGCTAAATAGGGAAAACTACTCTGTCTTCTAGAATATGAGCTCCTGTCCTTCTCAGGGGAGCTTTTAAGATTCACAATAAATTAGATCAGTTGGTAACTGAGTTACTTTAATTAAGATACTATCATTCTGTATTCTTTCTGATTAGATTTTAATTACTTTGTTTGAACATCCATAATTTTGGGGGGGGGGGGTAAATAGCCTTTGAAAAACATTCACCACAACTGTCTATGAACAATTTAATTGCAACGTCCAGTCTATCATTTTAAATTTTACCATTTAAAAATCTTAGCTTTAATCCTTATGATTCATCTATTGTCAGGTTGAGTTTTATTATTCAAAAATATAATTTCTAGCTTTGATGAATTAGTGTCTAAAGGCTAAATTGATACATCTGTGTCCAAAGGCAGTTCACAAAAATTCCTTATCCAACAACTATAAAAATGTTGCTAATTACACTATTCAAAAATCTGTAGCCTGCCTCTTAGATTTATGAAGTTCTTCTGTATTCCCACTTTCTTACTTGCTCAATCTTTTTCATAAACACCATATTTGAAAAGTCACACCTGGTAAATTCCCAGAACATTCTATTCACATTGAGTTCAACTCTGCAAAGTAAAACCACTTTGGCAATACGGAAGGTGAACATAAGAAAAGTAATAACTCGGCAGGGATCCTTGAGAGAATGCATCGTATTATTATGCACTAAAACCATTGCTCCCTCTACCTAAGCTACTCTACATGTTTCGTAGCCATCAGAAGACCTAGCACATTTCATCCTCCACTGTTATGGAAGATGGTCTCACAAAAATATCTGAGGGTTTGCCAACTCATAATATCTTGACTGTTAGTTGCTTGAATTTCCAGTCTTGTGCTGTTTGGGATCTGGCAGTCCTAATGTTTACCAAGACAAAATAAATATAAATAACAAAGAAGCATGAGAAATTTGCTTTGGAGCCATCAACAACGAATAACAGTAACTGACCGTGTCATGTTTTGGCTAATACTATTGGTGTAGTATTCTGGTACTTCCCCCAGATTCACTTACCTTTTTGATGTCTTTGCACAGAAGGAATCGTGAGGAATTGGAGTGAAAACTTGCGTGTAGTGTGTGTGATGCCACTGGTATCGTAATGCTAGTAAAAATCCATTTCAGTAAATGGTATTTTTTTCTTCTAGCTCTTTTGAAGTGAGACCAGGTGATGAAATCTTGACAATGCTACAGACAGCAACTGTTGATTTGAAGGAATTTGAGAGAGAAGCAGCTTGTCTTCCTCCAGAGGATGGTGAGCCGGATGGGGGGTGGACTGTTCCTATCACAAATGAGTATTTCTTGGGGAAGAGGGTGAATGTTCACAGCACTGTACCAGTCTCTTTATCAATTTAGTCTCCTACCATGTGACTGCTGGAGGTGTTACTCATGGGCCATCATTTAAGATGAAGGCAACCGGTTCGTCTGTATAAGCTCGGGGCTGTGAATTGGTGAAATACGCAGTCCAGTTTGTGGTTTGATACCGCTAGACTGATAACACCATGCACACTTATACCAGATCAAGTCCTTTGTGTCAACTGGATACCAGACAGGAGGTATTTAAACATTTAAGAATAATAATAAATCAATTCCAATACTGACAATACAAAGTTAATTACTATCTGGTCTACTCTGATGGCCAATACAAGACCAGCATAAACTTTATAGAATAGGTTCTTTTCACTCATGTCACGGGAATGCAGTTGTTGCCAGCGTGCAGCACAGGTCACATCTGGATTTCTGAATGATGCCTTAGCATGCAAATCCAACATTCAGCATTAATGATTGTAGTGGAAGGTCTCCCTTTATAGTGTAAGCCTTTTCTTCCTTCATTTAGTGGCAGAAGGATTACCTGTGGCTACAACAATTTCTGCTAGTTTGAAGCTGCATGTAAAGCAGAGTTTTAAAGTAGTAAAATGAAATCCGAACACTCTTCTCAGCCTCTCTCTGCCTTATACCCCGTGTTATTTTTTATCAGCACGAAAACTTAACAGTGCAAAAATAAGCTACAAAATGCTAGCAGTACTCTCAGCCATCTGGATTGGATTTTGTGGCCATTGTGGGCTGACAGATTTGTGCTGAATAACAAATATGCCCAATATTCTTTCAGATGACAGTTGGCTGGAGATTACAGCAGGTGATCTAGATCAGATGCTGAAGGAGGCAAGAAACGAGTCCCTTCCTTCCTCAAATGAGGAAGAGCAGAAATACGACTTGGAAGCAGTTGCTGAAAGTATGAAGGCTTTTGTATCCAAAGTCTCACCACATGAAGGAGCAGAAATGCCACGGCAGTAGTATTTTTAAGTTTGGTGTGTGGTGTAGAATGTGTTTTCATTCTGCTGTAGCCCTTTAGTTGATTCTGTAATGCGCAGAATCAACGTTTGAAAGCGTTCTGCGTAGCAGAGGCCTGAAACAAACCCATGTTACTAGTGAATACGTAGTTGCTTTTAAACCAGTTTGGTCACCACTCTGACAGTGGTGCAGGTAAAAATGTTGGAAGCTGTGTTATTTTCCAGCACTCTTACTTAGTTTGGTTTTGAGGTTTTTAAATTTTTTTTAACGCTTTTAAATTGAAGGCTTGTTGTTGTTCATTACGGTAGCTCTTAGCACTGTTATTAAAATGCACATCTCAAGTTCATTTGTGCTGAAATTTTTCTGCCATGAAGGTCTGTTCAGACTAAGATTCTACTGATGAAGCTGTGAAGAAATAAAATGAAACTTAAGTTGGGGGAACCTGTGAATTAAGACTACTGATTTTTGTGGTACAGTTGAATTTAGATTTCCTGTAGATTAGTATTTTGAATATACTAGGCCTGCTTTTCCACACCTACAGCACATACTGTACACCTAGAAGCAGGAGCAAAGAATCAAATCAAGGTGGATCCCTGTCATTGTTCCCAACAGTGGGAGTGCTAACTGAAGATACCTAACTAGTTAGGCAAGAGCAGAATGCCGCTAGATTAAGTGCTGGAGTTAAGAAAGTGTGTGTGACTGTGGTGTGGACAGGCCTTTAATTTTAAAAACCAAAGGGTGAGGTCGGAGCATATTGTCCAAGTTCTTTTTAATAGCTTTAATATTGAGAAAATAATGCTGTGTAAACTGTATCAAGCATATAAGGGTCTACTCAATTTATACTCTTAATTGTTTGATCCTTTTTAATTACTGTTAGTGTCAATGTCTGAGTTATAATGTGGACTTTTGTCAGTTATTTAAAAAATAAATGAACAAAAAAAAAAAAACAAAGAAAGGGCAAACCACTGAGCTTAAAAGAGGCTAGAATGAAGCCTGCAGTGTTCTTTCTAGGCAGGAGACCTCCAAGATTCTCAGCTTTTTACATCTTTGTCTAAGGTGTACCACCACCACTTTGTTCCAGAAGGATTCAGGCATGTTTATTTTGGTTCCCTTCGGTGCAATTTTATTTGACCACCACAAACGGTTAAAGTTGTTGGGTTTATTTTCTCTTTCATGCCAGGAACTCCTCCCGTTGCTGTTTCGTTCCTAGTTCATACAGGCCTCAGACTTCTAAGCACTTCCAAGACCATCAGTTGAAATGTTCCAACTTCAGTCTAGGCTCGAGAGAAATCTGTATGCCATATGGGTTATGTCTGTGTCAGCTTATGCAAGCCTAAAAGCTTTATTTATTTAAAAGTTTTTTAGATTTCAGGTCACCTGATGAATCCCATGTTACCTTTGTAGATTCTTTTACAAAAGCGTTAGACAGAATTTTAGGTGAGATTGTTTCTTTTGTCAGAATATCTCATGGTTATTTGGCTTTCCTGGGTCATCCATCCGTCACCCATGCTCGCTGTGCTGATTTGTTTGCTATCTGTACTGACACAAAATAATATATATGTAGGGGCAGACTCAGAAGAGCTGGATTCTGATGATCTGGATGAAGAGGAGGAGTTTGATTTCTTGAATGAGGATGATGAAGACTTAGATGTGGAAGATCAAAGGCAAGACCAGAAGGTGCCGCCTAATGAGCTTATAGGCAGTCTCAAGTCATACATGAGTGAGATGGACCGTGAACTGGCACATACCAACGTTGGTAAAAGTTTCACTGTCCAAAAGAGAGGGGTAAGTATGCCTCAAGTTCTAGTTTGTAGCATAAAGTGTTGAGAGCTTTGGTAGGAAAGAGGAAGTATACTAAAAGTGATCATTCCGAGTAATGTAATCAAAAACTTGTGTCTTCTAATCATGTGCTAACTAATTATTAAAAAATAAAGCAAAAATCGCATGCGCAAGCAAAATGTGCTGCAGCTGCACCATGGTGTATTTTTCTGGGGGGGTGGGGGCGTGTGAAGAAAACCAATTTAGGGGGAAGCTTTAACTTGCACATTGTATCCAAGACTTAGTTTCATTTCCCTGTTTTACCCTGTTTCAGTAGTAAGGCAAGCAGCTGCAGCTTGACTATTTGAGTTCCTGTAGAAGATCACGCCCATAGGAAAGGGAGCCAGGACTCAGTAACCCTCTATGTCCTTCTCTTGGAACTTTATCTGTATAATGGAAAGTGATGATTTTTAACTGGCATGAGCATTTGGTGACTAAATTCCTGTCTGTCAAGACAGTGTGGAACATACTGAACTTTGTTGGCTGCAGAACTGTCTCCTTGTTTTCTTCTCTCTTGTGGTTTGTCTTTTTTTTTTTTTTAAACCTGTTTATAAAGTTTGATAAAACTTTGTCTTTATACTTACTATAGGCAAGTTCTGTTAATGCAACTACGTCTCAAAGTGCTGGCCCTGATGATACTGAGTTGATACCAGTTGATGTGGATCAGAACCTGGTAGCTAACCTGCTCGAATCCTACAGTGCTCAATCTGGACTGGCAGGACTCACCTCTAACATTTTACAGAGCATGGGAGTATGTTTACCTGAAAATGCAGATCATATTGGCTCTAACAATCGAGCCACAGAATAAAAGGCTGTCTTAGTGCAGAAAACATGGCTGATTGAGAAATGAAGCACAGAAAAACTAACAGTATTTGGAATAAGAGACAAAAGGTTTGAACTTAAAACATTTATGCTTTAGTTATGTGACTTTAAAGATACAAAGTGAATTTGCCTGCAAAAGCCATCTTTTTGGATACTATCTTGGATAGAAATCAGATTTTTCCAGTGCCATCATGTTTTCAGAAAACTGAAAAATGATGTTATGACCAAAATGAAACTTTTATTACAAAAACCTGTCTTCAGTTTTTTCAGATCAGTGATACAATTTGCCATATTTCTGAAATGCCCTTTACCCATTACTAGGTGGTTTCAATACCTGTAAAGCAGCTCATGGTCTGAAAATGCCTCTGCCTTTAGGGGGAGATGGAGGAATACCATATTATAGGAATAGTGTTCTCCTGTGGATTTTTCAACACTGGTTAAATGTTCAGCAAACACTTAATTGCTTTTCCAAAAGTACAAGGCTTTGTTCAAAGAACTTCTGATAATTACTGTAAGAATCTGTTCTTTATTAATCAGGAGGATTTGAAGAGTAATTTGATTGAACATGTAAATATTTGCTCTAAGTATTTTTTAAAATTTATTTGAATAAAAGCAGAAATACAACTTGATTACTGGAGCTGGGTTGTTTGTTTTGTTTTGTTTTGTTTTTCTTTGAAGGTATGCATAACTTCCTCAGTGCATTATCAGAAGTTCTTGGAGTTAAAACACTTTCATAATTGGGCATTTTTTGAATTTCACTATTGCTGAATGTGGGTATTGTGCCAGCAGTAGCTGTATATGAGCCCAGTCTGAACTGTTTTGTTTGTTAGAAGGTGTTCAGCATGTTGCTCCCACATAGAATGAAACATATATTCTAGATATGGAGACTTAGCTTTAACAAGATAAATTTGAAATAAAATATGTAGAAGTTCCTGATTTACAGACAGCAAGAATGCAGTCCTGCAAGATCTGGATCGGTTTCTATGAGTCTTTTCTTTATTTTTCCTTCCCTGCAACGTTTAATCAAGTGTCTTAACTGGTAGAAGAGAAACTCATTGGTTGAGTTTTGGGGTTTTGTGGGGTTTTTTCTGTTTTGTTTTGTTTTTTTAAACATGTTCAAAAAAATAATATTCAGTGATACAAAAGCCTGATTGATCCTGAAGGCATACCTGATTGCTTTTAACGGACTAATTGTTATCATCTTCATTATTAATATTGTTGTTATTGATGTTGTTAGTATTAGTCTTAAGGCTTGGAGTCCATTTAGTTGAAGTATTTGTTTTAATTTTTTTGCATGTTAAGTGTTGGCATTATTTTAACTGACAAAGCAGAATGTAGCAAAAGTTGTTTCTGTGTAGGACACTTGTTGGATGATGAGTCTTGCTGTCTGACTGCCATGCCAGCTGAGTTTGACCAACAGAGAAAATTCTTTGAAAGTCACACATTGGCATAGTTACACTGAAATTCATGAGACTTTGACAACGTACAATGAATGCTTGTTTGCTGACTTCTCTACTGATCTGTGCTCACAAGTGGCTTTTTTTTTTTTTCCTAATTTTTGTTTGTTTTTTAAATGACAAATATCTGGTAAAATGCTCCAGTACAGCATCACAAATATGCATGGAATGGAAGTGGTTGAAGGCTATGATGGCTATGCTACCACCATATTTGTCCTCCCATCACTGTTGTCTAAGTTACTTTGTCAACAGTTTAAGGAAAGTACTGGCAAGTTGGACAGGGACTTGAGACGGACAACAAGAATTAAGAAGTCTAAAGATGCTGTTAAAGTTCAAGGTGTTTGGACTGCAGAGAGGTGAGGTGGAATGAGATTGAGTTAGACACTGGAAAATTGGGGCTAACAGGAGTTCTTGAATCTGGCAGACAGTGATAACCAGCAGCTTGTGGTAGAAAACAGATGTACCTGAACCTTAAAAAGGGTTTATGTTTTTAACAGGGAAGATAATTAACACTGAAGCTACATAAAATTCTCCACTGATGAGTAGTTAAGATCAAGTTTAGATTCTTTAAAAAATAATTCAGTTTAAAGAACATGATCACATCTAAACTCTCCTGTGGCCTGAACTGTACAAAAGGTCAAAGCAGATCAAAGGACTCCTCTATTGTAGCATGTGAAAAAACTTCTAAGCTAATGTTCAGAACAAAGCTTTTCTTTTGGAAGCATTTCAGCTGACCTTGCTTCTTGGATAGTCTTATGTTTCCATCAATTGGACTGTTATTTCTGTGGAGCTGTACTTATTCCAACTATTTACATTTGTTTATCAGCTTCACAGTGGAGACCTTGAAGACTCTGGAATTGCTCAGAAGACAATTTGCCCTCGAAGAACAAGCATTTCCATGCTGCCTCTTCCACTGCTTTGAAGTAACATTTGAGGTGTTTCTGCTTTCAATTTTGAAAGAGTATTTTTAGTGAAAGAAGCCTGATGGAATTAATAAAGGAAGACGTGTACAGTGTGTTTCCCTTTCAGTGGATTGCTATCGAAGTTGTAATTATATTCTGAACTAGTTTAACTAGAACTGCATTCCAACACAGTTTACTCACTTGAGCATCTACCTTTCTTACAGCCTTGTTCATCCTAGAACTTCTGTCCCTTCCCAGAAATGTAGTTTTCTTGTCTATGGCTTGACCCTTGAAGCCCCAGTTCTGAATGATGTAGTTGTTGACTGGTATGTTTTCAAGCAAGAAAACAAATAATGGGGTTTTCATCTTCTGTATATGAGATGGAAACTAATCGCAGGGGACAGCAGAGACCTTTAACTACTTAAAACTCTTCTAAACGCCTGGACGGCTGGGCTGTTGCCACTCTTCCCACCGATAGGCTTTATGGAATAGCAAGGAGATGAAGACGGAGGGCCTTTCTCTTCCCTGTGGTGATGGGGGGCGTGCACTTCAGCTCAGAAGTCAGCAGCCCACAGGCCAACAGTGTTTCCAGTGTGAGTCCAACTCCTGGTCAGTGGCGAGGAGGTGCTGCTTGGGAGGAATGGTATTTAACTACAGCCAGCTGGGTCCCGGTGCAGTTTGGTGTCCGTGATACTACCTGCTATTCGAAGTCCTTGAGTTTACATGAACCTCCTGCAAATCAAATGTCTTCAGCATCCTTGCTACAGAAGTGGCTGCCAGCCCCCCCTGCAGCATAGTTTAATAATGTTTCCTGTATGTCTTTAAAACTGGAGAGCCCAGAAGGGATTTAGTGGGAGCTGTTAGCTGGGTAGGAGACTTGCTCTCCCGTGTTAGTGATGTCCCTGGTTTGGCTCACAATTTCAGCATTCCAGATCAATTTTCAATGAGTCCCATCCAGAACTGAGTATAGATTTTGAGGTGAGGAATGTGACTCTTAGCTGCAAAACAATCTTTGTGAAAAATCATCTACCATTTAGTCAGTATTTTAGAAGGAGTATTAACTTTTCAGAAGCTCTTAAATACACACTGGTATTGTAGTGTGCAGTTCTGAATAACGGCATTGGTTTGGTTTTCTCCTTTACACGGTCAGTGTGCTCAGCATGTTTCTCTTTAATGAATTTTCTTCTTTTTTTCCCTAGCTGTATTCATATACTTATTTGCCCACCACCTGCATGACAAGTGTTTTAGCCACCCACGGGGTGCCAATAGGAAGTGGCTCCTTCCTCACTGTTTCTTCGCAGGGCTCTGCAGACTCATGGGGCTTGTTAGAGTCTGCATTTTTGTCTCGGTTAGGAAATGGTCATTGGTGCCTTTTGCCTAGTGCAGAGAGCAGTGTCAGCTGCTAAAAGTGGCAGAAAGAGGAGGGTATGCCCTGGGCCTCTAGACTGCTTCAGTGCTTACTGAAGAGAGGGGGGAAAGCCCAGGGGAAAAACTGGGGCTGGTGGGGAGAGGAGGGCTGAGGGGAGAGGAGGGCTGAACATCCCCTGAGGCCACCCAGCTCCAGCTGGGGCAGGACGGGCCTGGCGAGCCTCAGGGCTGTGCTCACAGGGCGGCCAAGTGGCTCTGGCAGAGGTCAAAGACTTCTGGCGTCCCAGAGGCCGCGGCCCTCCTTCCTTGGAGGAGTTTGTGTGGTGTCACGAAGCATGGGGCTGTGCTTGCTTTCGCTGGGGAGGGGCCAGGTGCCTTGTGTAGTGTTCCCTTTGCACTCCTGCTGTGCCCTGGTCCCCACTTGTCGGCTTTTTCCCATCAGGCTGTCACAGCACCCCCAGAAATACTCTTGATCCTCACCTCCGCTGTCCTGGCCGCACGTAGCTAAGGCTGTGCTGCTTCCCAGCGCTGCAGTGGGCACAGCACCAGCTCCTGCCTGCACAGCTCCTTGCCTCAGGCTCTGATTGCTGAAGAGTGCACAGCTGAAAGCAGAGTGGAGAGCTAGTTTTAGAGCTTGGTGTGTCTTCTCTCAGCTGAGCAGAAGAATCTTGTGCTCTGTCTGTCTGTATCTCTCTCTGTCTTTCTCCTTTTTTCCAGATTTTCAAACGACTGGCAACACAGGATGATGCATCAGCTGTCGTTGGAAACAATATACCATTTACCAATATGCTGGTGTGTGAGAGCAGGGAAAAGGCATGCTTTTCACCATAGCTTAAGCCTGAGAGGGTGGTGTCTTTTTTTTTTTTTTTTTTTTTTTTCCTGTGCTGTTCACTTAAAAAAATACATTCTGTGTCATAAAACCCTACCTGCCTAACTTTGCCTTGTAACAGTAGTGACTATAAATGCTGAGGAAATGAGCGCTCCACCTTTTATCAGAGAAATCTCTTTGTATTTGCTACGTAATACAAGGAAGGGGTATCTGTGAGGCACATAAATGAAGACCTGTTCCAAAGCGCCAGGTAAGGCTGTGGGAAGGCTCAACTGCTTGTTAGAGGCTTAGCATCTGCTGTGAAGCCTGCAGAGCAGCAACATGTATTACATTTTGTGGTTTGTTTGTAATTACTGTATCAAGCCACTTTGAATTGAATGCGTGATTATCTGTGTATTTGGCAAGTGCCAGAGATACCTTGATTGATCTGTGGTATGTGGCCAGCTCATGTCCAAGAATTCCTTAGGTCTTCATTTCCTTGGGTTTACTTGATAACTCCTTGCTAAATAAGGCTGGAAATGATTTTCTGTTGCCAAATTCTGTTGTGGCTGTTGAACTATCTATATTAAAAAAAACCAAAACAAGAAC